CTCTGTGGGAGCTCCCACCCTCTGGAACGAACTGCCCCCAGAGATCAGGGTGATCCCTGATCTCCCTTCCTTCCGCCGCGCCCTCAAGACATGGTTGTTCCAGCTTGCGGGACTGGCCTAAGGGATTTTAAAGGGGTTTTAATTACTTTTAATTGGAACAGATTCAAATATTTCTTTTTAATTAATTTTAAACGTGTATCGTATTCTTGTATTTTATCTGATTGTTAGCCGCCCTGAGTCCGCAAGGAGAAGGGCGGGATACAAATGTAATAAAATAAATAAATAAATAAATAAATAAATAAAAACAACATGGCAGTATCGAGGGAGGCAGAAACATGGAGGGGGGGTCTGCCTCTTGGGGCCATAGAGGTCCTTTAAATCAGGGGTCCCCAACCCACGGTCCATAGTTTTGGCACCGGTCCGCAGCACGCCAGGAACTGGGCCGCACGAAGAAACAAAGCCCCATCTGTGGGATGCAGGCAGCACGTGAGACCGTGCCCTCTCTGGTCCGCGGAAAAACCTCTCCACGGAATCGGTCCCTGAGTGCCCAAAAGTTGGCAGCCGCTGCTTTAAGTCAGTACTTCCCAACCGTGCCAACTTTAAGATGGGCGTACTCCAGCTCCCAGAATTCCCCAGCCAGGATGCTGCAAATGAACAAGGTTGGGAAGTCCTGCTGCTTTAAGTGAAAGAGTAGGGACCTGGTTTTAAGGCTGTTTCAGGGATCACCAAACAGGCCAGCCTTCCAGCAGCAATTACAAAACATGACACGAACCAGAATCATTTCAAGCTGCCATCCTTCTCGTCGATGTTACTTATCATTTATTATTTTTCAGCAGACCCACTCAAAAGCTTTCCACTTTCTACTTTGGAGGGTTAAAGGGAGATGTTGAGATAAGGGGAATTTTGGTTATTAGATTGAAAAGAGTCGGAAATCAGTTGAAAATAAGGATTCGATCTGTTCAATATTGGGAAAAAATTAGATCTAAAAGGGAAAAGAAAATTAATTATCATGAAGATGTTTGATTTCTTGATTAATCCAGGCAATGTATATAATGGTTTTGATTTATTAAAGGGGACATTGTATTATTAAGTAGATGATTTAATATGGCGGGAAATAGATAACTTTTAGGAAATAGAACAAGATTACATTCAAATAGTGTATTTTGGATATTATACTTTGTTGTGAAGTGAGATAAGAGAAATCTTGGTTACCCAAAGTCTGAAAATTATGGATATCAAAAGATTAAATTGGAATATTGATGAGAAATTAAAAATTATGTAAAAATTAATAACAGGATATGGATTGTTTATGAAGATTGAATGTAATTAAGATACATATAAGCTAAAAATTTAATGATAAATGTAATAATGATGTTTTTATTGAGTTGACATAATTAGAAATGTACTAGCTTGAATAAGAGACAGTAAATGTTAAGGGTAAAAGAGAAGAAATATCTGATGTTGTAACCTGAGATTTGCACTAAAGATTTTGTTATTGAACTATTGATTAACCCAGTCACCACAGTGCTTTTTAAATACTTAAAATGTAAAACTGGAAAATTAATAAAATATTAACTTTCCACTTTCCCCACTCAAGAAAGCCCTGAAACCAAAGCTCTGTCACACAGACAACTTCAGAAACCAGAGCCAAATGTCTTCCCTCAAGCCTCAGTGAAGCAAAAAGGCAAATACCAACCAATAACAAGGTATTGTTTATGCCACTTTCTCCTTATTCTGGTTCAACGTCCGTTTTCTTTAGGATGTTTCATACTTACACTTTCCAAGACCCGTAAACATCTTTCTGCTCCCCAGAGTGAAGCGACCAATTTCTCTTCATTCTCATCGCTGCTTAAATGATCCACACATTCCTTAACTGGAGAAACAAAAGAACAAGTGTGATTATTACAGCGGTAAGACATTTT